TCACTATCATTACTATCAGCATATAACTTCTTTAATCCATCCAAAAGTTCATTTGATTCACATATCTTTAATCCATGAGGATTTGGATCATACGACACTTGAGACTTTTCATCTAATATGTCACATAATCGATTAAGTTTTCTATACACCTCATCGACTTTGGCTCGAATAGGTAATACTGTTGATCTAAATACAAATTTCGTTTCAGAAAATTCGAATTAAATTTAGAAATTAACCTGTCATGGATCGGGTCTATGTTCAATAGTTGAAATATATTTGATAATTGTTTCATTGCTTTTTCTTTTTGATGTTCAAGTTCATAGAAAGCATGACATTTATCTTCATCCATTGATTCAGGATCAGTTGTTTCATCATCACGTGGTGATTCATCATCGTCATTTGACTCAGCTATAATACCACTGTCCATATGAGGATTTTCTTTCTCTTCTTCATTCAGATCATTAAACTCCATATTGACAACAACATCATCATTTTTGTCATCATTGGCAGGAGAAACTTCTGTCATGATTTCATCATCACTTGAACTTTCATCGTCGTTGAATTCCATTGATTGATGAGTCATCATTTTCTTCGATTCAAATGCATGACATGTTGGACATAACCAGCGAATTCGAGTGTAAGCCACATCATATTCACTTATCAAAAATTTCGATAGCTCTGATGACACAGCCACTATTCCTTTTGGTACACGTGCTGATTTTCCATGCTTCACCGGATGTTCACAATTTTTTCGTCTCGGCATTGAGGTACAAGTTTGAAAAAAAAAAGAATTACTAGTGGGTACTCGATATTTTCTGGTATTCAATGATTCATCTTGTTATCTTATACGTTCGAAATCACCACATGTGTGCATAAGACTCTACGTTTAAAGATGTCCTTAAGGACAAATGGAAAATCTATCATTTCGATAGTAATGTCCTTTTCGACTCCGTTGTCTCACTTCTGCAAGCCGGTATAGCGACAAACTATCATTCAGCACTCAATAATTTCAATAGAATAGGTCTGATGTTTTTCAGGAAACATGTTTCTAGACTTCGTTTATA